ACACACACACACACACGCACATCACAGAGCACATACACACACATACGCGCACCACGGAGCACACACATATACTGGTAGACAGTGAAAACCAGGAAACTGCTCACCATCTGGAGCCAGAAGTCTCAAGTTTGGTGTGTAAGTCCTTTACATTCTGGTCTGTGTGTGTCCTTGTGAGAACAATGCCAGGTCACTGAGCCCCATTTTCTTCCCTGTAAATGGGGAGTAAGAACTCCCTAAGCCTGGGGGCTGCTGTGAGGAGCCAGGATGCATGTGACCATTGTGTGGACACCATTAAGTCCGCTGCAGGACATGCTAACAGTGCAGAGGCATGTGAGGCTGACCAGCACCCCAAGCCCCTCATGCAAAATGAACCAGCGAGCAGCTGGAAGCTGCAGAGGACAGAGGCCCAGTGTCCTCCTCCACCTCAAGCACCAGAGAGCACCGGAAGCCTTATCACTAAGACTACATAGGAGATCAAAGCGCTCTGTTCCCCTCTCTGCAGTGCTTCCACAACACACCCCCCCCCCAGAGGTGAGGGGTGGAGGTGCTGATAGCCTAAGTAAGGGGCTCCACACTGCACTTCAGGAGGCAACACGTCTGCAGTAGACAAAGGGCTCAGGTCACCCAGGGCTGGAAGCCTACACAGCATCTCTGCCAGGGAAGAGAGGTGGCCTCAGGCCCAGGGAAGCAGCCATGAGGAGCAGAGGAAGGGCCACTCGGAGCCAACTTCGACAGCTCAGCCTGCTGTCTCTGACTTTCTGGGAGGGAGACAAGGTGAAGCCACAATGGCAAATACCAGGGTATGTCATCTGAGCCCAAAGACAGAAATGTAGGGTTCATGGGGTGTGATCAGTCAGGGCCAGAAAGAGATTCGATTAGTGGGCCAACATGGTCCTGGAAGAAGGTCTGGAAACACCTGAGTGCAGACTGTGAAATGTTTCCATCAGTGAGTGGATGGGGTCAGAGCCATGGCTGGTTATGTGAAGCTGTGAGAGCAAGGGAATCCCTGTGAGGAGATGACAGGGAGCCAGCAAGTCTGGAAAGGTGGGTCCAAGACACAACTCACCCTGGACCAAAAAAATGAAGGTCAAATGTCTGAGCACCAAATGCCAAGAAAGGGCAGGAGGAGAGATGAGGCCGAGCAGCATCCTATGTCACAGCAAAACCCCAGAGGCTTAATCAGCACTGGGTCCAAAGCAATGAGCCCAGAATGTGTGATGCGGCTGCCAAACCAGCAAGTGAAAAAGATGTCTCGGAAGCAGCAAGAACAGGCAGGTCCCACTCATGGCCAAGCTCTGAAGCCTAGACACACAGCAAACATGGGCATAGGCCTGCAGGATGATGATGGCCCTGAGGCCAGGACATGGGAAAGACCGCTGTGGAGCAGAGCATTTGGTGGCCTGTCAGCATGGGCTGTCTCTGGGGTACTCAGGGGTGGTGGCATGACAAATGCAGGCAGAGGATGATGTCTGTGCTCTGGGGAGATTGGACTAAAAGACCTCTAGAGTTCTGCCTGAAACCACTCTGGTTTACACAGGCCAATTCAGAAGAATCCCTGTTTTCTTATATCTTCCCAGTCACCAATCCCTGTGCCACATGTGGAAGAGCCTCCCCTGGCTCCCAGCCCCAGGGAGAAGGCTCACTCCATGCCAAGGAGCCCTCCTCAGTACAGTGCTGTGGCTGGGGCGCATGGGCCACTGTCCCCCCTCTTCTTCCCCTCTTAGTGTTGATCAGCGTGGGCACCGAGACCTTCCTCCAGGGGCAGTTCAAAAGCCTGGCCTTCTACCTGCTGTGAGTATGTGTGAATGTGCCCCTGCCTGCATATTCTGCTCCAGCTCATCCTAAGTCAGTCTGCTCAGACTAACCTACTCTTTCCCAAGCTAAGTCCCTCTTATCCCAGAGGTGGGAGGAGAAGAGGGGGTCATAGGACATTCCATGCTTTGGAAAGGCCTTTAGTCAGATCATCACATAAATTAACCAATTATCCTTCTATCCATCCACCTACACAACTTCCTAACCACCTATCCACCCATCCAGCCATCCATCCACCCACCTATCTATCTACTCATCCATCTACGAGGTCAGACAATTAAGTTCACAAACTCATCCTAGAAAAAGTCCCACATACCTCATTGTTGAATATCACTACAGTCACCTTCAAAGTACTCCCCTTGAGAAGCTATGCACCGACACCAGTGCCTAGTCTACCCTTCAAAGCAATTTTGGAACTCTTTTTCTGGAATGGCCATCAGGTTGTTGTCATATTACCTTTGATGTCCTGAGTGTCATCAAAATGTCTTCTTTTCAATATTTCCTTTATCTTTGGGTAAAGAAAGAAATCATTGGGGGGCCAGATCAGGTGAGTAAGGAAGGTGTTCCAATACAGTTATTTGTTTACTGGCTAAAATCTCCCTCACAGACAGTGCCGTGTGAGCTGGTGCATTGTCTTGATAAAAGAGCCATGAATTGTTGGCAAAAAGTTCAGGTCATCTAGCTTTTTCACGCAACCTTTTCAGCACTTCCAAATAGTAAACTTGGTTAACTGTTTGTCTAGTTGGTACAAATTCATAATCAAGAATCCCTCTGATATCAAAAAAGGTTAGCAACATTGTTGCAACAAGTTCGTGAACTTAATTGTGAGACCTCATATCTATCCACCCATTTATCTCTTCAATAATTTCTTTATTCAGCAAACATTAACGGAGCTCTTATTTTAGAGAGAGGAAAATTGACTTGAAGAACTATAAATGAGAGCCCATCTCCATGCCCAGCACAGTTAAATGTTTTATTTATATTATTTCCTTTAACTGTGGCAGGACAGAAGTGAGTACTGCCCTAGTTTTACAGATGAGAAAATTCTGGGAGAGTAAGCAGCTCAGCCCATTTGCCAAGCTCACAAGTAGCAGGGCCCAGGCTCACCCGCAGGGTCCATCTAGTTCCCCAGCCTCTGTCCTTTCTTCTCTGCCAGCTGCCTCTGCAGACGCCCCCTGGCGGGAAGGAGGTCACTGTGCAGGGGTGTCCCAGAGCAGGAGAAGGGCCTGGCATCCCTGCCAGCTCTGATCAGCTTCTCAGCAGCCCGATCTTGAGGAACACAGGGAGCCCTGTCTGCCTATGGAGTCACCAGGCTGTATCCTCTATTCCCCCACTGCCCCCTCCACCCTCGTCATAGTGGTCTCATCTGCATCCTAAGAAGATGCTTGCCTCAGACAAGCCCTTTGGTGTGCCAGGCGGATCTCACCCACCATCTCCCAGCCACGTGCTAACCTCTCAGTGCATTTCCCCACCGCCACAGCATCAGCTGCCTAGAAACGCAGGTCTCCCTGACGACCTCCGAGGGTTGCCACGGCTCCAGTCCACACTCCTTTGTCACCTTCTGACCTCCACCTTATTCCCTGTCACTCAGTTCACACCCCAGGAATTTCTAACTCTTTCCCAAACTGGCCTGCATCACCTCTAAGCCTTTGCCTGTCCTGTTGAGTGCCTCCCCACCCCCTTCAGCATTCCCAAAGGTTGGCATTCATTCCTGGCATCCTATCCCGGGACACCTGCCCATCCTGGAACCCCCACTTCTTGCTTTGAGTATCTTCCTATCTTACTGAGCCTGTTCCAGCCTCTATGCACTGTCCTCCCTGGCATCCAGAAGCAGGCCTAAGCCTCTTCCTCTGAATATGGTTGCCTAGTTCAACCACAAACATCACTTCAGGTAAGACCTGGGGTTCATCCTACTGTAACAGATCAGCTCTGCAGCCAATTAATGCTCACTGCTTTCTGCCCAGCACCCTGCTTCTTCCCAACTGCTCTGCATGTCTCGAGGGGACACAATGCCTATCTGGTCACTCTGTGGTCCAGGCCTAGAAGACATTATGTCCACCCTCAGTTCCCCTTCCCCTCACTGTGAACTAGTTTGTGTTCTCCACCCTGCTCTCCGACCCCACAGGATTGGCACCCACAGCCCACCCTGCCCATCCCTCCTGCATTCACGCCCACTCATTCCTTAGGGGCCACCCAAGTGTCCAAATGCCCTGCCTCCCGCTGTTCACTCCTTCTTCCTCCCATCCTCCCTGTGCGTTCTCACACTCGGAGCATTCATGAAGCATAGCACACACCCTGTATGACTGTCACTGCCTTCTCTGTGTCCCCAGGACCAAGCAGGGGCCATGGTCAAGAGCAGGCAGGCACCAGTAGGAACTTCCCCATCACTGGCTTTCCCCTTATTCTTCTCCATGTCTCTCCATACTTGCTTCATCTCCCGTCTTCCTCTTTCCATGAGGCCCCTCACTGCCTTCCTGACATCCACAAACAGTGGCTGCACCAATGGCTAAAGGGTGCTGCCATTTAAAAACTGAGGAGTAAGAGTTAGGGAGACACTGGGCAACGTACAGAGAGTGGGAGAAAGTAGAGGTTAAGTACTAAACGGTCACACACACACAAACACACAGAAAAGGAGAGGGAGAAGGGCAGGGAGGGAGAGAGAGAGGAATGATAAAAACTAACATTTATATAATGAACACTATTTGTCAAGCACATTTGAAGGGCTTTACAAAAACCAGCTCATTTAGTCCTTATAACAATTTTATTGGTTAAGCACTATAATTACTCTCAGTTTACAGCTGAGGAAACTGAAGCACAGAGAGGCCAAGTCCCTTGCCTGTGGTTACACAGCTGATCAGTTGCAGGGGCAATGGCCAGGGCCTTGAGGAAACCCTGAGCCTGAGCTGCCCTCCTCTGCAAGGCTGTATTCATATCTCCTCTCACTCACTCATTCACTCCAGTTCAAGTCCATGGATTGCTCCACAATAAGCCTTTCCCAGAGCGGCCCTTGGCTACATGAAAGAATTAGAGAGGGAACTACCTAAGGGAGCTCACAGACAGGTGGCTCTGGTCACACAGTGCAACATGGAGAAGCAAGAGGCCACCAGACAGACATGAGGAGGAAGAGGGAGTCCTTCCAAGAGGGACTCGCCTGTGCAAAGGCCCTGGGGCATCTGACAGCTTCCTGTGGAGTCAGAGGAATATGGAAGCTCACGTAGGGCTTTAAAAGACATGCTAAGGAATTTCAATTCTATAGGCCAGTGATCCTCTCCAATAAAAAAAAATAATAAATGTAAGTTCCATTCCCAAAGATTCTGATATAGAAAGTCAGGGGCTTTTTAAATATATTCCCTGGAAGATTCTGATTGCAGAGTCCCTGGACCACACTTGGAGCATGCGGAGGCTTTGAAACTCTCTAGATTGGGAGGAATATGATCAGATTCAGGGGTCAGAAGGAGCCCTTGGGGCATCCTGGTAATGACAGAGTGGAGTGGCAGGGGGCAGAAGGTGAGGGCCAGGGAGTTAGGGAGGCCAAAAGGGGGAAAGTGGTGCAAGTGTCCAGGGGACAATGCCCAAACTCAGGTGATACAGGTGAGGCCAGAGAGAAGGGGACTGATTCTAAGGCTATTTAAGGAATACAGTCAGGTGCTCCTGGTGACTTTTTGGATGATGAGACAAGAGGGTTTGGAAATGAATCCAGCCTTAAGGCTCTCACAGTCAGGCAGCAGGAATCCATCCTGGTAGCAGTGTCCACACAGGGGTGCTGTGGTCAAGATGGTCTTCCCTGCTGGCCCCGTCTCCCCTGCAGCTCCCTGCTCACCTATCTCTGGGTCCCAGACCCCACCCCTATCACCACCACAGCCCAACCCACCACAGGCTTTGGCATCAAGACAGCTCCTGGGAGATGCCGATTGAGTGACAGGATTAGGTCAAGAAACTCCTGGTCAGTTAGTCGGTTGTAGACACCCAGGAGGCCAAGGTGCTATGAGAAGACGGCCCACGGGAAAACGAAGGGAGAGTCAGAGGGTGTCGGACCTCCCTCACGTGTCTCCATCATAGATTCACAGGAGCCGCCGTTTCCGTGTGTGAAGGGGCCTACTTTGTGGCTCAGCTGCTGGCCATCTGCTTCCAGTAAGTAGCCTCCCCTGCCAAGCGATCCTTGCAGCTTCTGGGGTTTAGAGGAGGGAGGAGCCCTGAGCTTCAAGGGGCATTTTCCTGCTCTGGACGCCTCCAGGCCCAGCCAGAATGTGGTTACAAGGTAATGACCACCAGAGGGCACCAAAGAGCTGTGGCAGTACGGTGTGGAAGGGGGGCCATGCTGGAGACCACTTCTCAAAGCTAGCCTGGACAGGATGCAGCTGTGCAAATCCTTGCTCTGGCCAGTTCAGAGGATGAAGGAGATGGACCTAAAGGCCAGTGATTTCCTCCTTCTAAACCTGGAGGCAGCAATCCTGAAGAAACCTGCTCAGTATCAGGCCTCTGCCAGGCTCCCACATTGACTCTGCAAGCCAGTTAAGAAAGAAGCCCCTCTGGTCCAGTGCCATTTCATACCTAGGCAAGACTGTGAGCAGGGTCAGCGGGATTCCAGCCTGCTCACCCACGTGGCCAGGCCCCTTGTGCAGTGCACAGTCCACACAACCATCTCAGCCAGGTGTCTCCTGTACTGCACACCTTCTCCACTCCACGGTAGAATTCCCAGTGGATTCCTTAGTCTCCTATTCTCCTTCCTAATGCCTTCGCAGCCCCGCTGGAGGGGCTCAGGCAAGATCCTAACTGTGGAATCCCTAACCGAGATCTCCTACCCTTGGGGGTGTTCATCCAGAGGCTGCTGCTGAGAACAAGGCCACAGCAGGATACTGCCCCAGCCTCCTACAGCCTCATGTGTTGCTGCGGCTTCCTGAGTCACTCCCTGCTTCCTGCTAATCCTGGACTCCTTTTTCCTAGGTGTAGGCCAGGGTCCCTAGCCTACAGAGCAAGGGAGAAGGCCGGCTGGCTGGGCTGCTTCCAGAAGTTCCTAGCCTACATGCTGCTGTCCGTGGCCTGCTTCCTCCATCCTGTGCTGGTCTGGCATGTGACCATCCCAGGTAGGAGCTCCAGGAGGTGGTGGAGGCAGGCAGCCCCACCACAGGTGGACTCTGAGCAGGAGGGGCTGAATCCTCCTCTCCTCAGCCTGCGGTGACGCTGGCTCTAGGCCCCTACTGCCCTCTCTGGCTAAGTCATGGGGATGAGGACCTGTCAGACATCTTCCATGCTGATTAAGTGTCAGGAATGTCCCAAGAGAGCATCTTTCCTGTAGGTGTCCAATGGCTGCACCCCCAAAAGGGACCTGGCCTTTCCTCCAATGCCTATGTGTGGATTGAGCTTTCAGAGGGTGTGAGATGGTCACTCTTCTGCCCAAACCTGTTCATGTCTCGCCAATGCCTACTGATTCAAAACTCCTCAGTCTGATTTGGAAGGCACATTAGGATCGGACCCCAAAAGACCCTCACAGCCGCAACGTCTTCTCCCATTCCACCTCATAGTCCCTGCTGGTCAGCCTGATTCCTGATCGCAGACGCCAAGACTCAGTGCTTCCACCTCCTGGGTTTTATCCATGACCTTTTCTGCTAGTACTCTCCTCGTCTCTCCTTCCAGGTGTGAAAACTGTACCTCTCCTCATGACCCATCTAAAATGCCAGGAAGCCACCGGCCCAGGGAGATAAGATTGGAAAGCAGAGCCTCCTTTTCCTTCCTGTGGTTTCTTTACTGTACCTCACACAGCCTGTGAAGGCCACTGCTCACGGCACTCCAGTGGACTCCTGAGTAGTTTTCAGCACTGCAGAGGCCAGAGCAAGCCACAACCTCCCGCTCCTTAGGAAATGAGAGGCATGGGAGGCTCTGGCCTGGCAAGCAGGCCCGCAACCTCCGCTCTTCCTCTGGCTTGGGCAGGGCTCTGGCAGGAAACCCAGGGCAGCAAGCCTCAGCCTGGACAGAGGGGCCTCTGTCCTGGAGGCTGCGTGAGAGTCCGGTGGGGGGTCAATGTGATGCCAGCCTCACCCAAGGGTATCTACACTTTCCTCTGTGTTCAGTGGGGAGGCTGAAGTGAAAGTGGAAAGGAAGTCCAATTCAGCAGGTAGGGCCTAGTAGCCAACATAGAGTCCAGGACCATTGAAGGTGTCACAGGACCAGCTCCAATAAGCCATCTTGGGAGGGAGGCTGAGCATGGTGATGGGAGGCTATTCAGGCAGCACCAGGGTCAGCTGTCAAAAGGAAGGGAGCCTCAGGTACAGGTCTCCTAGCACATGATCAGGGTGAGGGCCCTAGCACGGACCGGGCCCTGCCAACATACCTCAGCTGAGCATTAGGCCTGCTGCCCCCTGAGTCTCATGTGCGTGTATGAGGCCAAGTTAGGTATGAGGGCTGGAGCACAGGGGGCCTGAGTGTGGCCACACAGGTGTGCAATAGTGGCCTTTTGGAACAGTGGGCTTGGACAGCCTCTGGCTTTTCTCCAGGATACACCCAGCATACTGACCTCCCAGTCTCTTCCAGGCTCTATGCTCATCGTCACCAGCCTGGCCTACTTCCTGCTGAGCAAGCGGAAGAGGAGCAAAGCTGTCCCCGAGGTACCCACCCCCCCGGAGCAGTACACCGACCCCTCCAGCAGCATCATGAGCACCACGGGTTCTGGGGACACCGAGCAAACCTACACTTTCCACGGAGCCCTCAGGGAGGGGCCCAGCTCCCTCTTCATCCACATGAAGAGCATCCTGAAGGGAACCAGGAAGTCCAGCGCCCTCCAGCGCCCAGATACTCCGATAGAGCTGACTCTGGAGCCCGCTGATTCTCTGACCAAGAAGAAGCAAGTGCACTTTGAAGACAGTGTGGTCAGGATAATCCCGGCCCTCGCTGAAGGCCTGGATGATGGGGACAGCGAGCCAGAGGAGACCACATCCGACACCACCCCCATCATCCCTCCCCCCCAGGCCCCACTCCTCCTGTCTCCTCTCGCAGGCACCGGCCTCTTCTGAGCAGCCTGCTCCAGCCTGGGGGATACTCGGCGAGGGGTCTACATAGATTGATGGCCCCGCCTGGAGGGGCCTGATATCCGCAGGTCCTCAGGGAGCATGAAGTCTTCGCAGGTCAGCTTTTTAAGAGGTGAGCAGACATCCCCACAATGGCTGAGCCTCTGGGGCCATCAAGTGGCATGGCAGGTCCTGCAATGGCCATGAGGGAGGCTTAAGCAAAGCCCAAGCTGCCTCAAGCCAGTACCGGTTCCTCCTGGACATGGAGTGTGGAAATCCATGTGCTTTCCCCAAAGAGACCATCACTCCTGCCTCACACAAGGCTGCCTCAGCCCCAGGAGCAGCCACCAGGCTTCTCCTGCTCCTGACACAGGTCCCAGCACTCAGCAAGGACGCATGGCCCATCCCACCTGTGAGGCAACATCCTAGCTCTGAAGGCCCAGGGGTGCAGGGGCAGCTTACACATGTCAAGGGCAGGCGTTGAAGGTGGCTGTGGATCCTGACCCCAACGAGGTTGCTCGGCGCAGGGAGGGAAGTCCAGGCTGCAGGCCTGTCCCAACAGTGGGCCACATTCTCTGTGTACTCTGGGGCTGGCCCGGGCAGCAGGAGTCACGGAGCCCCTCAGGGAAACAATGCTGCTCTGTGCTCACTGCAGGGACAGCCAGCCCACATGAATGATGCTCATTCCAGAAGCATTGCCGAGGGCTCTCTGCATCCCCACTGTATGCACTTTTCCAAGATTCCAAGTAGATGATGTAAACTAAAAGATCCTGAAAGCCAATGACATTCTTCAGCATGAATGCCACAGCACAGGACGCAGCGGGGGCTGCATGCAGGGACCACGGATGACACACAGCAGAGAGAAGTGGCTCTGCCACACGTAGGTGCCTGGTGGCAGAATAGGTGATAAATTATGTTTGTTCAAAATGGGAGGGAAGAGGAGGGGACAGGGGGATAGGAGGAAAGTGACAGGCAGGCTAGCTGCCTGCCATGAGGCCATGGAAGTAACAGTTAATCCAGATTGATCAAAGAAATTTGAATCAGATATTCCTTAGTTAAAGGATTTGCAATATAGTTTTCATTTGGTCCCTGGGATTGTTGCAAGGAAGAACAAACACACTCTTCTTCATAGGCGATCTTAATTAATGAGCAATCTGAAGACACATCTATGTGGCTCCCCGGTTGTGTGTGTGAGCAAACATGAGGGTTCTGCAGAGCAGGCCTCAGGGCACATGCTTTAAGGTCTAGAGAAAAAATGTATGCTCATTCTCGTACACTTTTCAGCATCCCCTATGAGTTATTTTGCAAATGTATGGAAATAGCCAACCAAAGGCTTGTATCAATTTATTGCCTAAATGCAACAAGTGTCCCAAGTAAGCAGACCTCTTCCTGCAATAACCCAGTTCTTCTGTAAAACCGAGTGAAAAAAGACAAATACATTCCCATAAGTCCTCCCTGGTGGAAGCAGTGGGGCTGTTTCCTTAGCTGCCCCTATGGAGGGACTTCAGGAGCTGAGAGTCAGTCAGGGGAGAGTGAATAATGTGGCACATGTGTATGAGTGGGTAGAAATTGTGCCCAGTTCCTAATGGGAGGTGTCCTAGGCAGGCTGCTGTGCTCAGAAGGATCCCAAGTGGGGAGGAGCCCAGGGTCTTACCCCTGTCATGTAGAGAAGGGGGATGTGCTGGGCACAGCACAGGTGTGGCCAGCCCCTGGGAGTCCCAACACTCCTGCTCTCTTCTCAGAACCCCAGCCTGCAGAGCTGGACGGATTGCAAGAAGCACACCCAGAAGTGTGCTGTCTGAGCTGCCAGATCCTGTTTAATAAATCGTTCTGTAAACTCCGGCACTCGAGCCTTGTTTGGGATGTGTCTTAGAGGTGAGAGGGCATTGGGAGTCCGAGTGATGTGACGTGCATGTGACTGAGATATCTAGGCTTCCTGGTGCCTGTCATCACTTAAGGGAGGGTCTGCTGCAGCATTAGCTCTTATGGAGATTGGTGGAATAAAGTTCTCAAACACTCTTATTGCAGGGGAAAAAAAAAAAAAAGGCTCGGACGAGATCATTAACTAGACCAGAGCCCTCACCTCTGTCGGTGGACCAGGCAAGAAAGTGGCACATCCTCATAAGCATATAGACACCATGTGTCTTCATTTGGTCCTCAGCCCAAGACAACCATATCCGTATCCACTGCTATCCCTGCACAGATGCCGTAATCCTTGCTGAGAACAGACCAGAAGCGCTGACCCTTTTGTGGCCCACTTCCCTTTCTCAGCATAAAGCAGAGCAGACATTCTGTAGATGAGAAACAGAGTGATTAGAAGTGGAAAGAGCACTGGGCCGGGAATTGTTAAATCTGCCACCAAACTCTCATTGACCTTGGCCAACCCCCTTCACCTCTCTGGTCTCAGTTTCTCCTATTAAGTGGAAATAACAGAATTCTTTCAGGATTGGTGTGATCACTTAACCAAGAAAGATGGGGAAAGCTCTTCAGATTACAACTCACCCAGTCAGCATGAGTGCACCTTCCTGTTCCTGTAAGGAAGGCTCCAACGTAAGGAAACACTGAGGAAGCAGAGCCAAGACTTGTCTCTGGAGCAAGGCAAATGCACATCCAACAGCTTCTTTCTCAACTCGAGTTCAGCTTGAGCCTAGGGAGGGTGCTGCCACCACCCTATAGCTTAGAGAGCCATGGTTGAGCCTGAGTTACGAGGAGCCATGCTCTGGAGGGCACCCAGTATAACTGCTCTCTCCCATCAGTCCTAAGGGATTTTCTTTTTAGTTTTTAAACTATCTTTATTGAGATGTAATTCACATAAAACTCACCAACTTAAATGGTTTTTTTATATTCATAATCAAGTACACCACAACATTTTCATTATCCCTCCCCCTCCAAAAAAAGAACATTAACAATCTCTCCCACTGCACCCCTACCCCACCATAAGCACCCTATCTGTCCTTATAGATTTTCCTTCTGGACATTTCATACAATTGGAATCATATAAGACATGACCTTTTGTGACTTGCTTTGTTCACTTAGCATAATGTTTCCAAGGTTCGTTCATGTTGTAACATGTATCTTTATTTCATTCCTTTTCATGGCTGAATAATATTTCATTATGTGGATATAGACGATGTTGATGGGCATTGGGATTGTTTCCACTTTGTGCCTATCATGAATAATGCTGTTATGAACATTTATTACAAGTTTTGGGGTAGACATGTATTTTTATTGCTCTTAGCTACATACCTAGGCATGGAATTGCTGGGTCAAATGGTAAACTCAGTGTTTAAGTCCTTGAGAAACTGTCAGACTGTTGTCCAAAGTGGCTGCACCTTTTTATATTTCCGTAAGCAATGTATGAGCATTCTGACTTTTCCACATCCTTGTCAACACTTGTTATTGTCTGTCTTTTTAATTATAGTTATCCATTTATTATGGTTTTGATATGTATTTCTGTAATGACTAATGGTGTTGAGCATCTTTTCATGAATTACTGACCATTTCTTGTGTATCTTCTTTGGAAATATCTACTCAAATACTTTGCCTGTTTTCAAATTAGTGTTTTTGTTTGTTTGTTTTGTTTTTTGTCTTTTTTTAAAGATTTTTATTGGGGAATTAGGGGATGGGAACAGCGCTGGGGAATTGGGGGAAGGGGAACAGACAAGTTGCTGTCGTTTTGTTCTTCAGTCTAGTTGTGGAGGAC